TGGTAATTCATCAACACTACTTATGGTAATTCATCAACACTACTTATGGTAATTCATCAACACTACTTATGGTAATTCATCAACATTACTTATGGTAATTCATCAACACTACTTGTGGTAATTCATCAACACTACTTATGGTAATTCATCAACATTACTTATGGTAATTCATCAACACTTTTCCACTTTGAATAACTTACCCTATCACTCTGTTTTCTCTTCTTCTTTGGTAAATTTTCTGTGGGGCTGTGATCTATCGCCCAATATGAGCCCTGAATACAGCATTAAGAAAAAAAAAACATTTGTAGTGCACTGAAAATTCTATCTCCAAATTTATAAGCAACAAAAATATTTCTTTTTTCTCTTTAAATCTTTGAATCTCTTTAAATATTAATAAAATAAATAACATCCCCTCTACAAAACTGCTTGTTTAATGATAGAGTGCCTTCTATCCTAGCAGTGGTTATGTTAATATCATCATGCAAAACAACAATCACAGTTTCTCTAATAAATTCAAAAGACTAACACTAAAACAATATATATGGCAGTAAAAATCCTCTATTGTTAAAAGTACAGCATAATAAAGATGCTCTCTTCCTTTGTATGACGACTCAAAACATATGATCTTTTCTTGAACTTAGGTGATACAGACAGCTTTTTCCAGAAAAAAAAAATTATTAAATAAAAGCCTTAACTGGATGTCAACCTGTGAACAAATAATACAAATAATAATTTTTTCTTAGGCTTGAAAATATAGAGGTCAGTTTTTTTATACACAGAATAAAAAGATGACCAGATCAGCTTACCTTTCCTGGGTCATCCTTTGAACGAGGGACTTTGCAGAAACACTTGTTTAGAGACAGATTATGTCTGATGGAATTCTACAAGGAGAGGTAAGTAAATAAACGTGGTTAATAATATCAATCTCGAAATGGAATTCAAATTAGAAACTAACTTTTAAAAACTGCAACGACAAATTGTTTTGTAGAGCAAAGAAAACAACAAAAACCTATAACATTAGTAAGTACAAAACTTAAATAGTCCTGTAGTTATCAATAAAAACATACGTAACAAAAAACTGATTGTGTAAGTTAATTAGAAAGGAAGTTAACAAACACACTGAAGTTTAGTGAAAGAAAATGACAAACGTGTTTTTAGCTGAGACATGAATTTTACAAAACACTGATCTTTACTTAAGCACATGGAAATCAGTAAGAACAAAAAACGAACACTTGCACGACATTGGAAACTTCCCATCAAGTTTATGTTCTGAAGCAAACTGTAAATAGGCAGCACACACTGAAACCGAAGCAGCCATAAAACATAGAGTCTGCCGACAATTTCGCTAAACCTCTAGATTACACAGTGTAGGACTAATACGATTGCTGGTGTTCAATTCATCCTCATGCATTAAACAAATACCCATTAACTAGTACCTTTACATATTTATGTCTCCTATAAAGTTATATCATTTTCTCTGTACTTAAAAAAAAGATTATGCACGTATATGTTGTGCTCCATTTCTGAATTAAAAATTAATGAGCTTTTATGTCAGCTGTGTCTTTATCATCTTATATGTTATTCACAGTAAGAATGCATCATTTATCCACACTCAACCTTTACAATGACTTATTTTAACCTCTGTATCTTGGCTAGCCGAGGAGTTGCTAGGTGCTGGCTCATGAGGCCCATGCCCCAAATCCCCAGTTAGTTTCTTGAAAAATCAGGACAGAAAATCAGATCGTGTGAGCCTGAGCTCTGGACCTTTTATGCACCTAACACTGCCTCCGTTGGCTTTAAATATAGATTTATTCTTTAGGCTTAACATCAAATTTGTATCAAAAGTCTGTCTACAGGATCAAAACGAATAAGCCATTTTTTCTCTCTGTTTGTTGCTGTAATTGATTGTTTCTGTAAGTACACATCAAGGCCTAAAAGAAAGATTTTAATGTGAAATACAAATTGGAAAAGATTTTTAAAAAACATCCCGAGTAACTGATAGTGATGGTTGTACATTGTATTGGAACTAATAGTGATGGCTGTACATTGTATTGGAACTGATAGTGATGGTTGTACATTGTATTGGATAAGCAAACAAAGGAAACTCCAATTTGTATTTCAGATTCTAAAAAAAAACAACTTAAATGTATGTTAAGCCTAATAATCAGAGAAAAAATAATTAGGCCCAGATATAAAATTTAAAAAGACACCCAGAACAAAGTTTAATTATTTTTTGATATCTCTAATATTTTGTTGTTTTTATGGAATGTATACTGGAAATATTTAGACATTTTGGTAATAAAAACTACATCCGTCTGTTCTTTCAAACCACGTAGTGAGACTGAAAAACGAAATTATTGATATGAAAACTTTCTTGTAATAAACTGACTATTGAAAATAAATAACGAATTATATTTCCTTCTATCTAACGAAGCCTTAATGTTGTACGTTTACAACCACTTCCAAACTCATGATGAAACTAAATTCCTATTTTAAGCCCCCTTAAGTATGAAAATAGTTCGTTGTTCTCCCAAATTGAGTGACATTTTTCAAACAATTTTTAAAAACAGTCATTCATGTGCAGAAAAAACGTTTCCGTTTTGCACACACCCCTTTTTCTCTTACAGCTAATAATCTATACATTCTTACTGCCGTTATCGACTACCAGGGGAGGAACTGGTTAATTTCAAGGCTGTTCTTCTGAATCTGAAGTATTCCGCGCGTACTTTTCAGCGATACCCATAACCCCCGCGCGCCACATGGTCTGCCTTTACTACCAACTTTGTAACAGGTACAAACTAACAATAATGTTGTTACTCCTCTCAAAACTACAATCGTAAACATTTTAAATAATATATAGTTACATCTAGTGGAGTTTTTAAACAGACTTAATATTCTTATAACAATGCATAAAAAATGTTTGAAAAAAAAAATTACGGCTTCAAGGTTTTGACTGGAAGAACTTTCAGACCTCTGGTGGTGGTCAGTTTCTTGGAAAAAAAAAACTCACCTACATTATCACAAGTTTATATCAAAAACAAAACATAAGCCTGTCCAAGCAAACATGTTTACACTTACTTCGGTGATATAGGTGTCATCGGCTTATGAAGAATCCATTGATTTTCCCGAGAAACACGCAAGCACGTGCAGCACCGAGAAATATTCGTCAATTTCAAAGAAGGCACAACGTGTACGTGCTAACACACATATTCAAACCATACCAAGCAGAACAACGGGAAACGGTTCGTAACTGGGAATCTGGTACACATTATGTTTGACACGTGTTCTCTTTCACAGCAAGGCCGAAGAAACTGACACATTTAGTTGTAAAATCGGGTATCACAGGATATAGATAATGTACGACTGGTGAGGTATATTTTTACCATCCCTTTTTTTTTAAATTAAATGTGTTATATCATTATTCAATAAATATTTATAGAATCTTGTAATATTTCAAAACTTTTTTTGGCCGTCATGTTCAATTATCGTTGTACAAAAGATACGTTTTAAAGCACGTGTTTGGACTTAAACGTGGTGCCTCCAGTGCGAGAAAATATACCAGAACTTCTCAAGTTTTAGGTTTTGTTTTCCTTATAATCGACTAATCATTTCTCGTACTGGTGTCGTTTGGGATCAGACTATAATTAAACTTCATAGCCAATCCTGAAATGAACGTGCACGAGAAATTAATTTTTCTCGTATTGCAAGGTGACAATTAACGCCCCCACCCCTACCCCATTTTGCTCCTTTTTCTTCACCACCACCAAAACAACGCTAACGGATGTCACTCACTGACTCAAGTCTAAACGAGTTCTTCACTTCTTTGAGCTACCGGTGGTATTATCCCTACTGACCTGTGTAAAGGGCTGTCCCTACTAACCTGTGTAACGGATTGTCCCTACTAACTTGTGTAACGGGCTGTCCCTACAAACCTGTGTAACGGACTGTCCCTACTAACTTGTGTAACGGACTGTCCCTACTGACCTGTGTAACGGACTGTCACTACTGACCTGTGTAACGTACTGTCACTACTGACCTGTGTAACGTACTGTCACTACTGACCTCTGTAACAGATTACTCCACAACCCGTACAGGTTATGTATAATACTCAGCGTATACACATGACTAACTTATGCAGTCATGCGTGCTCACGTGTGTTATAAGACCACCTGCAGGTTTTCACAGTTTTAAACAAGTACACAAAATTAATACCCACAGAATTTTCTTGTGCGTGTGCTTAATTACTCATTCGGATTCCTGGACTGACAACAGTGTGCTGTTTCACGAGAAGCACGCTTGTGTGTGTGTGTGTGTGTAAAGTGTGCTTATTTACTCATTCAGATCCCTGGATTGATTCTTAAACTGAAAAAAGGTTAACCCTACAAGTTACAACCATAAAATAATAGATAAATTTGTTGTAAAAAAAAAGCCATGCATTTAGCCCCTCAGTATCTTATCAACAACGGTTTATAGCTGTTCCAAAGGGCCACAAACGTGAACTCGCATGTAAAGTTTAACAGATCTCAACGAATAACGCTACAGTTAAAAGGTCTCAAAACCTTTCTCTATAGGAGTATACACAAAGAGGATCACTGTGGCGTTTGTCGGTTGCATGGAATATGTTTAGTGTTTGATTCCACGTGTGATTAACACTCTATTAAAACATCGAACAGTATCACGTTGCAATCTGATGGACTTAGTGCCGTCAAAGCCGCAAGATGTCAGCACTAACCCACATGTACAAAGTGTACTTCGTAAGCTCTACAGGTGACAAGTTTCATGTTTCGTAAGCTCTACAAGTCGTATACTTTAGGTTTCATGTTTCGTAAGCTCTAGAAGTCGTATACCTTAAGTCTCATGTTTCGTAAGCTCTAGAAGTCGTATACCTTAGGTTTCATGCGATACCATAAAATAGTCAACCGCAATAAGCTGTGAGTGCGTGATAAAAGTGGCAGTCAATACCTCAGCGTGGATGGTATGGTCAGTAGCACGCACAAAAGTAAGGACAGCGGCAGATAGCCTTAGTAACGTTGCTTTTTTCTTTCTTTCTTTTACATTTATTGAAACAAGTTACAGAGAACCGCACAAACAGTTTAGTTTGTTGCCTGTGACTAATTTTTCAACACAAACTGGTTGGTTATCATCTGAAGTGACTCAGTGTGGAAAATGACTTTAGACGCGCCCGACACCGATTGTTTCTCTATGGTTGTTGTCTGGTCAGGAGAACTGTTTTGGAGGTTTCTGTACTACGTGAATAAGTCAAAGCAAAGTGAAACAGACACACACACACACACATTCCGAAAACAAACTGTGACAAAAACTACCACTGTTACCTACACCAGTAACACAAAACACACCCGTACAAACTACAACACACGCGGAGACAGCACGATCACAACCATTAAATCAAGAAAGGCAAATGCCAACAAAACAAAGCCGGAAACAACCAATCAGTTCAAATGTATAACAAAACAAGAACCAAATCACAGAAGGTCAACCAGCAAACATACTTGAAACCGAAACATATCACATCCTTGAAGCAATTAAAGATACATTCTTAGGTTTGTATATTCTAGTTTTGGTGTCCTTCTACTTAGGACATTCTTTATAAATCAGTTGTATGTTGCTGTTGACAGTCAGTTATGATGGAATCCACCACAGTCCACACATCATGGGAGAGACTTATAAAGTTTGGAGACGTCTTGAATGGGTAGCGGTTTGGTTTGGTTTGGTTTGAATTTCGCGCAAAGCTGCACGAGGGCTATCTGCGCTAGCCGTCCCTAATTTAGCAGTGAAAGAATAGAGGGAAGGCAGCTAGTCATCACCACCCACCGCCAACTCTTGGGCTACTCTTTTACCAACAAATAGTAAGTGGGATTGA